TGGTTATTTGAGGCGACTGGGACTCCGTGACGGACCGCTCCAAGCCCAAATGCAGAAGCCGGTCCTCCTCGATACCGCTCGCATCGTGCGCCGGTTTCTTTCATTTCCCCCCTAACCTGGTTGTGTTTTTATTTATTTATGTATTTTTTATGTATTTATTTTATTTTATTGGTATTAATGTATGTTCATCATTTTCATCCACAACTATGTATTTATACAGCCAAACCAGAAAACTTTATAGATACCCCATAATAATAATAATTATTTTATTTATGACCATGAGTCCATATTGTTAGTAATGTTGTTAGTAACAATATTGACTTAAAAATATGTTAGTATTGCAAGTAGTTATACATCATTTAATCATATGACTACGTCCATCCAGTGATTCTATCTGTATGGGCAGCCATATCTTACAGATATCGCTCTAAGGACGCTGTTACTACTGTTTCGTAAGCGTTGTAAGAGTTAGATTGTTTCCTTCGGGATTGTTTGTTGGAATTTGCAATGCCATGGCAGCCGCAACAACATCCTGAAAGCGTATTCTACTGTACGCGCAGAGTATTGTAAGCTCGACGCGAATATGTTACCCACAGGCCATTAGTTCATCGAGAGATAGTTATTTCAAATGCTACATTTTATCCAAGGATAAAAAGATATAAGTGGTAACACAACTCAGCTATTTTTAAATTGAATTAATTTCCAAAGAATGTACGGTTAAGACGTCTATTTCAAATCTTTACAGATATTCCAATTATACTTCTTTTAAAATTGGGAAATATTCCTTGAAATTTACATCTCTATATTTTGTTTGATATTTTATGTCACAATGTGTCCCAAATATTTAAATCTATTCACCAGCTTTAGAGGCACCCCACCGAGGTCCACTGGAGGCACATGGGAGAGCTGATGTTTGCCTATTTTGAATATAAGAAGTTGACTTTTATTAGCGTTACATTTTAACCCATGTGCCTCCGCATATGTCTCACATATAACATTACAACTGTAAACCTCAAAACGAAGCGAACGACGATTTTCATCAGACTTACACGATCACACTGCAGGTCTTGCCTCAAGCGATACGTAATTTATTTTAAATAATTTCGGTACCTCATGATTGATTAGCTTAAAGCTTTCAAAAATAACTATTTCAGATGTTTTTAATTGAGGAATATTTATTATCTTTGCAGTCTTTTATTAATCTTTTATATCGGATCGCTGTTACCTTTACCTTTAGGCTGAGGTGGTGGTCGGAGCATTACCGTCTTTAAACTATAAGAACACATGCGCAATGAGCCCAGAGCACCGGACTGAGTGAGGCCCAAAATTTGAAATGCATGTCTATATAAGATTTTAAACACAATTAAAATACATTTGTATAAAAGCTAACTATTGTTACGAAATAAAAGTACATTAAGATGGTCTATATATAATTTTTTAAGAGTCCCAAACTTATGCGTAACCTAATGCTTTTGCATGGTCTTAGAAGTTCCTGTCTCTACTAATTTTAATCTTATTTTCTCAAGCATATAATGGTTGTAGTCTTATAAGGAACGGAAAGCAAAAAAAAAATATTGCACATCCCCATATTGCTTACTGCAACAATTACTTAACACACATCTACAAATTTTTTTGGACTTTTAATGCATTTAAAATATATTGGGATAAATATATATTACATATCTAGTGCGGAAGACATTAGCTGCTTTTATAAGGCCTTTATTACACTGTTATTAAAAACTAAAAAAAAAAAAAATAATATCAGCAATAAAAATAAATAATTAAGTTGCTAGAGTTAGTAAATCGTTTTTGTTTTATTTAAACTTATTCTAAAAAGGAAAATAGCCAAAATGTATGACAGTGCAATAAATACCTTAGGATATAGAAATACCATTTTAGAATTTTTACTTCTTAATTTATTATCTTCTATTTTCCTAGTATTTATTATGCCTAATCTTATTATATAAAATTATATTATATAGGTTTTATGGTTTCTAATAACTTAAGTATTTTATAATAAGCTGTTTTCAAAGAAAATAAAATCTCTAATTAAGTTTTGGGACACTCTAAAAGTAACAAATCATTTTATGTATCAATTGCCAATCGAACTTAAAGTACTTAATTTTATGTACAATATTAAAAACTATGATAACAATAAAAAAAAACTAAAACTAGAAACTTAATTATAATGAAATATAATTAAGTAAAATAAAATTATACGTTCTGTAATATGCAATAATATTAAATGATGTTGGTGTCTAATTCAATAAATATAGGGAACTGTACTTTTTCATGTATGCTTACAATTACGGCCATAACGACTATCAGCTACAAATTTTGCTTGGATTTATTTACCCTTTTAAAGTAGCCGTGCTTAATACCCCACGGTTAAATATAAACACTGGAAGAAATAAATAAATTAAAGCAAACTAGCAAGTAAATATGTAACGCTTCCATAACTCTTTTAAAATCGTGGGTGTAATTATAAAATTATAATTATTAAAAATTCACTTTTTACTTTATTATCTATATCACTAAAATTTACAAAAATTTTAAAATGTTTGAAATCGCTACTTGCGTACGTTTCATCGCTTAATTATAAATTCTTACAGACAGCTATCAGCCATAGCTTTTTGATATTTCCTAATTATTTTCTAATAATGTACATTATACTCGACTCAAGAACTTGTTATATTTACAAATTATTTGTATTTAAACACGTTAACCTATTTTCAGAAAAATAAAATTATGCCAAATTTAGGGCTTATTGTTTATTTTAGAATGTATTTTGTCCTAATATTAAATTTATTTTAAATGCAGTTATAGCATTGCTTAATAAGTTATAGTTTACAAAGTAATGCGATATATTTACAACTACTCGTTGCCTTTGTTTGTCGGTTGTTGCCACTTTTAGCATAAGAGAGAATTGTAAAACATTTATAGCATAAACTTAATTCTTCATCTGAGAATACGACATTATTTTCAAGCCTTAATATTTGCTAGATGCAACAACATCCTGAAAGAGTAGTTATACTGATACCCACAGGCCACTAGAGTAAAATGATTGACAAAACGCTTAAAAAAGCTTTATTTTAACTGTATCTATATTGATCTGCACATCTAGGGAACCTGCGAGCAAGTATATTGACTCTCACTGTCAACACCCTGCGCTCCCTTTCTATGTCCTCGTCATCTCGGAGGTCACCTGTCACAATGTGTATGTGTGGATAGTTTTAAATATCTGGAATATTTAAAACTATCCACCAGTTTTAGAGGCACCCACCAGGGACCACTGGAGGCACTTTGAATATAAGAAGTTGACTTTTATTAGCGTTATGTTTAATGTGTCCATGTGTCTCCGCATCTATCTCACATATTGATAAAAGAGTCCTCAGTGCATCGATTGTGGGACTCAGTAGCACCATGTCGTTAGCGTAATATTCTGTATGGGGCAGTCATATCTTACAGATATCGCTCTAAGGATGCTGTTACTACTGTTTCGTAAGCGTTGTAAGAGTTAGATTGTTTCCTTCGGGATTGTTGGTTGGAATGTGCAATGCCATGGCAGCCGCAACAACATCGTGAAAGCGTATTCTACTGTACGCGCAGAGTATTGTAAGCTCGACGCGAATATGTTACCCACAGGCCATTAGTTCATCGAGAGATAGTTGTTTCAAATGCTACATTTTATCCAAGGATAAAAAGATATAAGTGGTAACACAACTCAGCTATTTTTACATTGAATTAATTTCCAAAGAATGTACGGTTAAGACGTCTATTTCAAATATTTTCAGATTTTCAAATTATTCTTCTTTTAAATTTGGGAAATATTCCTTAAAATTTACATCTCTATATTTTGTTTGATATTTTTTTAACTAGAATGTTATAACTTACACGCAAGAATGATCCTATGTTGAACAATGTACGAGTATTTACCCTTACACTAAATAAGCGACTAATTGTAAAAAAATATATTTTAATATTTATCTTTACCATGTGGTGGAATTATGAGACTAAACTATCTTAGACCTTAAGCAAACAAAGACAACGAGTAAATAGCTATTTACAAGTAACAAAATACACAGCGTTTATGTTCAAACTTTAAAGTAATTAAAAAAAAAACATGTTTTTCTTTTAACAAATAATAAATCTAGAAATAATGAAAGGTAGAGTAAACGAAAATCTAAAAATAGAACAAAGAGAAAGGCTGGTTTTATTATTTTTTAAATATTAATAGTAATATTAAAACCAAATCCATGGGTTTGATACTTTTTCATCTTATTGTATCTTATAACTTCGATTTTGGGTTTTTATGCCCACATTTGTTTAATCTGTCAGCATGAAAAAAGATTAATAATTATTCATTTATAAAATATAAATTGAAATGACATCACTAAAAACACTGAAAGCGCTGAAATAATTTGACAAAAATTCTAAAAAAATCCTAATTAAAGTTCTATATCTACGTCCTAATCTACAAAATTGGTATCTACATTTAACTTATTACTTATTCTCCGATTGGGCTAATTGGCACCGTATGCGGATTTCTATGTAATTTTATTTCTTCGTCGTGGACATTTTTTTTTATATACAGAACTTAAATCTTACATGTTAAGGTTTAACCGGATGTATGTTATAAAAAATTACATGGTACATAACGTCCAAGTTAAATTATATTACGACTATATAGGACTATGCTAGTCACGTCAATTCCCAAATACTTATCTAAATCTAGAAAGGCTGATTTAAATTAATTAAATGCGCAAAATTACAATACCAGAAAAGTGATCCGTATTACCTCGATGTTACTTATAATTCTTTTGTTTCCATTTTGTATTTACCATGTACTCAATCGTGTACATTTTTATGAGGTTGCAATGGCTTAATAATGTATAGTTAAAAGATTAAAACAGTCAAAATTACGAAGAAATGGTTTTAACTCCCCATTATTCAGAGTGATCTATGATAGACATTTAATCTAAACAGACATATTTTAATGTTTAATATACGTGGACATCAAAACCTTTCTTGGCTGCGATTGGTAGACGCTCTCCCATCAGGTATGGGTTCTCTATCTGAAATGTTAATACACTCATTTATTTACTAAAACCTTTTATTCTAAATTTATTCCTGAATATAATGTCATTAAATGAATTTTAATACTAGTGTTACGACATAACAAAGATTAAAAATTAAACCTTTTTACCCTAGTACACATAAGATATTCAATTACTTACATCAGGTTTGTACTTCTTCGCGACCAAGTTCTTATGGGTATCGGGGAAGCGTAGATCTAGGTCGGAGGAGCTATCTGATGGGCAGCTGAACATGTGTTCGCCGTCGCACATACAGCGCTGAGCAAGCTGATACTCGCGACTGAATGCAGCTGTGTTCTCGAATTCACTGATGCAGCCTTGCTCTTCTAGATGATGAAAGTAGAGCTTTGATAATAGACAGATATAGTAGAATTGATAACAGACACGTGGTAGAGCCATGATGCAGCTATATTAGTAGTATAGTTGTAGCACGAATGGGTCGGCTCGACCGGGGAAGGACCACGCTCTCACAGAAAACCAGCGTAAAATAGCAGCTTAACGCTGCTGTGTTTCATATGGTGAGCGTAGAGAACCGGAGACCCATTTTACTGGAAAAGAGGCATTCCAACTAAGTCCTCACGGGTGACGACGCATCTGCATTTTGATTCTTCATTGAGGACAAATGTGGATGTCTATGGGTCACAGCAACCACTTACCATCAGGTGGACTGTGAACTCGTTTGTCACCCAATTCTATAAAATAAAAAAATAATAAATAAATATAGGCATACGTTTCATTGGCATGAATACACTCACTAGGTATACATTTAGAAATAATCAGAAAACACAATTAGCTGTGTAGTGGGGTGAGAGAAATAAGAGTAACGATTACCCCATATCATCCCGTAGGCGTCGTTAAAGACACCATGGGGATACTGAATCCAAAATAATAAAAAAAGCGATGAGACAATTTTCATTAGTGGTATTTTGATGAGCTATAATGATGATAATATTACATAGTGATACTGAACGGAAAAACAGTATCTTCCTGATAACAACCCAAAATAATAAAAAAAGCTATGAGACAATTTTCATTTGAGGTATTTTGATAAGCTATAATGATGATAATATTACATAGTGATACTGAACGGAAAAACAGTATCTTCCTGATAACAACCCAAAATAATAAAAAAAGCTATGAGACAATTTTCATTTGAGGTATTTTGATAAGCTATAATGATGATAATATTACATAGGGATACTGAACAGAAAATGGGTAACAATATCTTCCTGATAACAACCCAAAATAATAAAAAAAGCGATGAGACAATTTTCATTTGAGGTATTTTGATAAGATATAATGATGATAATATAACTTAGGGATACTAAACAAAAAATGGGTAACAATATCTTCCTGAACAACCCAAAATATTAAAAAAAATCCATGAGACAATTTTTATTTTTGGTATTTTGATAAGCTATAATAATGATACTATTACATAGGGATACTGAATAGAAAATGGGTAACTGTATTTTCCTGACAACAACCCAAAATAATAAAAAAGCGATGAGACAATTTCCATTTGAGGTATTTTGATAAGCTATAATGATGATAATATTACATAGGGATACTGAATAGAAAATGGGTAACTGTACTTTCCTGATAACAACCCAAAATAATAAAAAAACGATGAGACAATTTTCATTTGAGGTATTTTGATAAGCTATAATGATGATAATATTACATAGGGATACTGAATAGAAAATGGGTAACTGTATTTTCCTGACAACAACCCAAAATAATAAAAAAGCGATGAGACAATTTTCATTTGAGGTATTTTGATAAGCTATAATGATGATAATATTACATAGGGATACTGAATAGAAAATGGGTAACTGTACTTTCCTGACAACAACCCAAAATAATAAAAAAGCGATGAGACAATTTTCATTTGAGGTATATTGATAAGCTATAATGATGATAATATTACATAGGGATACTGAATAGAAAATGGGTAACTGTATTTTCCTGACAACAACCCAAAATAATAAAAAAGCGATGAGACAATTTTCATTTGAGGTATATTGATAAGCTATAATGATGATAATATTACATAGGTATACTGAATAGAAAATGGGTAACTGTATTTTCCTGACAACAACCCAAAATAATAAAAAAGCGATGAGAAAATTTTCATTTGAGGTATTTTGATAAGATATAATGATGATAATATTACATAGGTATACTGAATAGAAAATGGGTAACTGTATTTTCCTGACAACAACCCAAAATAATAAAAAAGCGATGAGACAATTTTCATTTGAGGTATATTGATAAGCTATAATGATGATAATATTACATAGGGATACTGAATAGAAAATGGGTAACTGTATTTTCCTGACAACAACCCAAAATAATAAAAAAGCGATGAGACAATTTTCATTTGAGGTATTTTGATAAGATATAATGATGATAATATTACATAGGGATACTGAATAGAAAATGGGTAACTGTATTTTCCTGACAACAACCCAAAATAATAAAAAAGCGAGGAGACAATTTTCATTTGAGGTATATTGATAAGCTATAATGATGATAATATTACATAGGGATACTGAATAGAAAATGGGTAACTGTACTTTCCTGATAACAACCCAAAATAATAAAAAAGCGATGAGACAATTTTCATTTGTGGTGTTAATGCATAAGTTCACTGCTGAACATAGGCCTCCCCCAAGGAATGCTACAAAGCACGGTTTTGAACCACCTGCATCCATTGATCTCCAGCAGGTCGTCACACCATCTAGTGGGGGGACGCATTATACTTCGTCTACCGATCTAAGGCTGCCACTGGATAACCTTTCTACCCCATCGGTTGTCCGTTTTTCGAGCTATGTGGTCGGTCCATTGAAACTTCAGCAAACTAATAAATTATAACTTGAAGAATAATTCTTTATAATGAAGTGTACTGGAAAATCTTCCTAACAATGGGATAGACCCATGTCCAACAGTGGACTTTAAGGGTTAATGAAGAAGTAAAAGTGTGCTGCAATATGGAGTTGAATCTTAATTCATCACTATATCACGTTCTAAACGTGTCGTAAGTATTTACGTTAGATACCACCAGGATAAACACATTGCAATTGATAAGGAGCAGTGTCAAATCGCACTGCAAAATCTCTTTTTGAGATTAAAAAGAACATAGTGCTAATATAAGTGCCTAAATCTAATTGATGTTAATGTACTTACCAGTATAGCCAACGGGACAAGGGTTAGGTGGATTACAATAGGCTGGTAGCACAGCGTCGGTCTTTATCATCTGCCGGTTTGGGACTACGCCGGAGGGTTGGAGACGCTGTTCACCCTCTCCGGCTCCGCCGGTGACGTACTGATGGCCCCACAACGAGCTAAATGGAAATACGACATTTAAAAATACATTTGTATGCATAAAAATACAACATTAATTTTGTCACTAATTATTGACAAGTTAACATTATCACTTGGCACCTGATTTTCCTCCAGTCGTGTCAGATTGCCGTACCATCAGACTACGACAGTAAGGGAATAGAGAGTACACTTATGCTTCTGCACACACTCGTGCACTATAATCCTTTCTTGCGCAGATGACTGCTCTCGGTTGAGATTAGCTACCGTGATCTGAATTCGGTCTGGAGGACGTTAACGACCATTTGAAATTCGGGTTACCTGTGCTGCAAGTACTCTTGGTCTCGCAAGCTGGGGCTGGGGTTGCCTTCGATCAACGAGTCGTAGTCCAGCTGCTCGTGCTCCAGCTCCTTGTTGGCTCGCGCCATCATGGCTAGATGGCGGTCGCTCGATGGGAACTCGAGGAATGTTGACGCGGCATCGTTGAAGTCCTTCCCCATACGCTCTACTACCTCACGAAGCAAAGCTTCGGTTAGTATAGGGTCCTGTTCAACAATGCAGAAAACCTGATATATCCAATATATAAAAATTTATATTACTTTGTTCGTATTTTATGCACTGCTATATACAGTTCATCAGATTACGGTAAAACTTTGTCAACTTATTGCTTGCACTTGTGGGAAAGTTATAGACATAGTACAATATACTAACAGTAGGTGGCGCGCGTATAGTATTAACAAATTTATATGAAATTTATATTTCAATGAATGTATTATCATTCCTAAATAACCAATACAATTCTTACAAACTTAAAACAATATTACCACAAATAGTTCTTCTACAGCTGCAACGCGCCGGGTACCAGGTAGTGTGTAATAAAAGACATGTGTCACAAGACATTGAGTCGATCGTTATGATGCCTCGCAACTTCTCTCGCTCTCACAGAATACGAACATAAAATAGCAGCTTAACACTGCTGCGTTTGCTATGGAGAGTGTAGAGAACCGGAGACCCTTTTTACTGGAAAAGAGTCATTCCATCTTAGTCCTCACGGGTGACAACGAATCTGCATTATGGTTCTTTACTGAGGATAGATGTGGATGTCTATGGGTCACAGTAACCACTTACCATCAGGTGGACTGTGTGCTCGTTTGTCACCCTTATTCTATAAAAAAATAATTGCTGTGCTAAAGTAAATACTTTTTCGTTTAGATGCGAAGTCGAATTTAAACCCTTACCTTTTCCCCAATAGAACCATGGGGGATAAAGCCCATGGTGCCGACGATGCTTATCGCCAAAACCAGAACTACGCGGGGGCCCATTGCGAATCTGAAACAAAGGAAAATATTTTCTTAAAATATTTCTACATGAGATTTTCCGTCATGAACTTTATTAATTACATTTAATAAGGAGAGAGATTTAGTAGTAAGAATTACAAAGAAAATATGTAAATTGTCAGTTATTAATACCTAATTAGCATAACTATAATATTAGCCAGTAATTAATAGTTATTTATAACTAGCAGTCTAGTTGTCTATTAGTCTAATTTAAGTAATCTTAACAGATAATTTGATTTTAAAGTTGCTCGAATAACGAGTACCTAAGTACGAGTAATATTTTATTGGAAAAGTTAAAAAGATCTTAAGGCTTCCGTAAGATGGAGGTAGAACCACCATCATTCATTTACAGTAATTACGTAGAATACCGTAAGGTACACTAAGGAATCATTTAAACTTTGGAATCACTACATGTATCTAAAATGTTTTGATATTTTTATATACGTGTATTTTTTATATATGTTTCGTATTATATTTTATAATTCGTTGTGTTGTGTTTTCTATTCCTTGTGTTATTTACTCTATTGTTATCATATTTCTACAAATTGATCTCTCGTCGACCTGAAGACAGACTGGCAAAAAATGCCCTGTGGCAAGAAGCCCATATTTTGGTGCACTTTAGTATGCAAAGCATACATAAATAAAAATACCAAGAGTGGTGACGGGAAGCTGCTTCAAAGCGATCTGATACTACGTTTGCTAAACGATTTGCTTAGCATGTCGTGACTTTGGACTGATTTTAAGGGCCGTGGGTTTAAAACCCGCACTAAATAAATATTTGCATGGCCTGCAAATAATTGTTTCAGGTATAAATGTACTTGTAAAATTTATGTTTATAATCTGCCTCCCCGATACAAAAGAAATACCTAATGTGGGGGTAGCTTTAAAAAAGCAATAACAACAGGCTGATAAAGAACCTACTTAAACTCTAAGAAAAAATTTCTATCAATCACCTTGGCAACAGTACGTCATTGAAGCGTTCGTAATGCGATTTAACTCCACAATATTACATGACATGACATGGCATAACATTATTGTTGTGATTGTACGTAAAAAATGATCAATTCCATTGAATTAGTTCACGTGGGTGTAAATCAAGCGATACCATCGAATGTTTTAATATTCGGCATCCTTTGAATCTTCCATTGTAAGTCATCTTAAATGAATTCTTTTAAATATATATGAAAAAAAAAAGATTCAATTATATCGTGACATAATGTATTAATTGGTACAAAAAACGACGGACGGAGAATATATTAAATATATAAACCTCAGAGGCGTATTTAGTGAGAAAATATTTAGGCAATTTTATGGGGTTACGCCGTGTATATTTAACTGTTATTTTAATTTAAAAAATGCTTTTGACGGCTCCGTGGCGCAATGGCTCAGCAATGAGCTACGGCTTTGGGGGTCATGGGTTCGAATCCCGCACGGAACAATTATATATACGGCCGACAATAATACGGCATAATATAATTGTTCCGGTTTGGTGTTTGTCCCTGTGCAATCTATGTATGGAAACTGCCTCCAAAATACAGGTAAAAATCGTAATGTTTTTCTATTAAAAAAAAAGTTATCACTAGATTTGATCAGTTAATTACATATATTGATGAACCTGTGGACACTAGTCCTTCAGAGTACCCAGTAGTAGCCGGTCGCGCATTATGGGTTCAAACACAACTAGTAGTGATTAAGGTCTGGTTTGCTTTTTACTATAAGTATTATTCATTAATGTAATATATTTTATATTATATTCTTTTTATATATGATGGTTGGTATAACTTTGAAATGACTTGACTGACTGAGGTCTTATTCACAGAATACATTTGTTTTATCGAGGCGATCGTTCATAGCTATAATATATAGCTGTAGTCAAGTTATTAACAAAACCTTTACTTTCAGGCCAAAAATGACTTGTGTTCACAATATTATGTGTTAATTTAGTGCCAAAAAAAGACAATCTCAAAATCTGATTCTGCACCTATGCTGCGCTATGGTCGTGTACTTAATTTATTAATTTAATATTTACACTAAAATGTCGAAAGTAAATTCGGTGTGAAACTCATCTGGTCACCACGGCAAAAGGGCAGAACAACCTCTGCCGAGCCAGCAAGCATTAATATTACATATTTTATATAATTTAACATTTGTTTTATTTTTTATGTAGACTTCTATGACACAATGAGACCCTGGCGACTAATTGATCGCGGAAAATACATTAGAATATGCAGAACCCAAATCCCTAGATAATACTATTACGGGACAGGTAAGCCATTCAAAGTTATTTATGTACCAAAAAGGATTTTTTTATAGAATTATGGTGACAAGCGCGCACAGCCTACCTGATGGTAAGTGCATGCACTGGGCTGTAGACATCTACATCTATCTTCGATTAAGAATCAAAATTTAGATGCATTGTCACTCCTGAAGACTAAGATGGAAAGCTTCGTATTCAGTAAAAGGTCTCCGGTTCTCCACACTCACTATAGGAAATACAGCAGCATTGAGCTGCTATTTTAAGCTGGTATTCTGTGAGGGCATGGTTTTTCCTCCGTCGAACCATTAGTACTACAACCATGATACAGCAAAGTATATAATGACAGCAGTATTATCATTTAAAGACGGGCAACACACCAGAAATTCCTCTTGTGTTGCAAATGTTCATGGGCGAATGTGATCACTTATTATCAGGTCATGTTTATTTGCCTCCTCTTTCATAAAAAAGTGTCTTACTGATAACAATTTAAAAATATAAAAAAAAACATTTGCCAACCCGTTTATTAACCGTGGCAAAGATAGCAAATATCCCGCCTATGATGCAATCTATAGCCTCCCCTATGTTCAGCAGTGGACTTTTCCTAGGCTGTAACGAATGAATGAAGGTTAACAAAGAGGCACACAGTTCACCTGATGTTAAATAAATGCTTATCCATAGACTCTATACTCAATTACGAATCAAAATAAAAATATGTTTTATAAAAAGGATCCATCATAATTTATTTACGATACATACAGATATATGCTGCAATTATACGCTGGTGTTCTATGAGCACATATTCTAGTCCCGGTCTTACTACAGCATAACTGTTACACGTATTTTTGTAAAGCCATCTGCATTTACCATCTGAATGCATAGAGCTCAGGACAGTAATTATCTATGACAATCTTTGTGAGAGGCCTAAGTTTAGAGTTATAATAATATTAATATCTCTCTCTTAAATATATTAAATGCTTTGAAGTAGGCGCCGCGAAATAATTCGATTTCAATAAAGACTACCGACGACCACCGGCTTCGTCTGGGTCTTATCTAATAATGTGGCGTTATTTGGTTTAAAGATAATCAAAGGTCGTTTATTTTATCGATTTTTCGATCTTCACTCCAAAAGTCACGTATTCGGTATAATAATTTTAGTATGTAAAAGCAATTACGTGCGATCTCGATCACGTGTCTCTCAAAGCGAAGCGCGTCATCCATCAGCAACTCCAGATTCTTAGCTTCAGTCACACGATTTATCTTCTCCCCGAGGACACACAGATCAGGATTATTTGCAACTATTCGATTTATCTGTCGCTTTGATCCCAATACTATGTATTTTGATTTTGCTGGATTGAGTACAAGAGTGTTGGCTTCTGACCACTGGGCAATTTTCATTAGATCTCTATTTAAGTTATTAACAGCCCAGTTAATTTGACTTGGTACAAAGGAAAGTTATATCTGCAAACCGTCTGCATACATATGATATTTACAGTTCTGAATGGATGTACTAATATCTGCTATATACAGCAGTTATTTCGATATTACAGACAGATATTAAAATTTTATTTATATGTGTGGGTGCTCTACTCGTATACGATAAAATAAAGTTAATTCAAAAAGCTATCGACGTATACGCAAAGTATAGAAAAGTCCGACAATAATGTTTCATTGCGTAGGACACCGCTAAGTGTAGATAAGGTACCGGTTCCTGTGACATCCGCACCGTGACTAGTCTCGGCTCTCGGCGTAGGTTCGCATTATTTCACAGATTCACTGTCCATTCACTAGCGTTCATTGAGGCTTTCTACCACCACAGACTATAATAAAGATCGATAATGTTGAATAAATTTAAAAAAATGTGTGATTTATCGGTTTGCTTTATCGTTAATTTACAAAAAACATTTTTATTTTAAGTACACATTGCAATCAAGCCTCGAATAAAATTGTAAATAATTCACATTAGTATATATTATATTTGTTTAAAACTGAAGGGACAAGTCAACTTACTGTTCACATGATGGTAAGTTTAAATATGTATAAGTTTAAATATAATTAAGTATATAAATAATACTGCTAAGTTTAAATTTTATTTTTCTATTTTTTTATTATCATTATTATTTTTTCTTCTATTTTAAGTTGTAAGTTCAAGATTAAGTTATTAATTACAGTAGGTACATAGAATGTAATTGGGTGATGTATTCGCCAACAAACTGCCCTGCAGTTTGGCGAAAGTAGTGTAAGAAATAACCGAATGTGTTTTTGTATAATAAACATTAAAAAAAGTGGCTACTGTAGTCTATGAACACCTGCAACCAACCTCTAACAAAGAAGTCTACAGCTCTCTGAGAACTAAGATGGAACGCCTCATAGCCTGTAATTCCACAGGCTCTCTGTAATCTACGGAACAAAGCAATGCAATAGTGTGTTATTTGGCGACAGAAATAGGTAAGAGAGTGGTACCAACCCAGACAGGCTCCTTGAGAGAAAAAGAGTACTTACACCTAAAACAGTACAATCGGACTTTTTAGATATATACTATATAAATTTAGACTTTCATATGTCGGATCCATTACAAAAATGACCTAATAGGTAATGAGGGCATCCAGTTTTTCTGCCACCAGAGCGGCGCCACTAGAAAGTGAGGTATGATATTTGACAGATTTCATAGCGGGTAAGTTAAGTTGTTCGGAAAATGTAAAGGTTATTGTTTCTTTCTGTACTATTAACT